TTTTTTTTTTTTCTTTGTTTTTCATTTGTTTTTTGTAACAGTAATTAATGTTAGGATATTTCGGGGCTTTTTTTTTTTTTTTTTGTTCTGCTTTTGTTCTATTTTTTATGTTTTTTTTTCTGCTTCATGCAGTTTATTTTTGCATCGTCGACAAAGCAGTTTTATTTTTTCACTTTTTTTTTTTTCTTGATTTGTTTTTATTTAGCTGTTTTTTTTTTTTCTTTGGCCTTTAATTGTGATCATTAATGCATGAATAGTGTAGGTGAAAAATGAAGAGGGAAAAAACTTTTCTATTAAGAAAAAACAACTGACTTCTGTAGTTGCTAATTACAGCTACAACTATTTGCTGCGAACTTGTCAGTTTTGTTATCTGTAAGCGGGTGTAAAATTGTACGTAGCATATGTACAGAGACAGATTTCTTTTTTCTTTTTCTCTTGACTGAGATCACTTTTTTCAAGTATTTGTAAAGATTTTTTTTTTCAAAATTATTACAATTTCTTGAAATACCTAATTTTATATAAACAACGGCATTAGCAACAGCAACAACGAATTGTTCTTAGTATTTTTAATATTGCTAAAGGAATATATACTACAATGGTATATTGATATCATTACTTTTCAATGTTAAATTTAGAGAATGTTTATCGATAAGTGTCGGGTCTATTTTTCTTTTGTGTTATAAACGATAAAAAAGAAAGAAAAAGCTAGCGAAAATTTGTAGATTGGCTTATTTATGTAACAGAAGTTGTTCTTTTTTCTTCTTTCTTTTGGATTTGAGAGGCAAAAATTGTTGTTGAAGACTTTAAATGAGGGAAAATGTAAGAAAAAAAAAGAAAAAGAAAAAAGAAAGTAAGGCTTTTGCTGTGGAAAAAAGTTTAGCGGAAGGGAACGGAAGTTGTTTTTATGCGGCAGTTAAGAATTGAATGTTTTACTTTTAACCAAACGAATGCTACTAAATTGCTCAAATTTTTTATTTATTCATTTTTTTATTTTTATTTTTTGTACGATATGTATAGTAACTGAGATTTTCCGTTTTAGCTTCAGAAGCACTTAACTGCTTTAGACACTTATGAGCATTTATTTGACGAGGCTGTTTAATTATTATTTTTTTATCCTTTTTTTTCATGTTTAGTGATTTGATACGTCCTTTTTTTTCTTTTTTTTTTTTTTTTTTTT